AAACCATAGGAATTTTTTTATAAATATGTACATATATATATATGTGTGTTTGTGTGTGTATGCGTGTAAAAAAAATTGACAATTGCTTTGTCCAATTATAGAAACGATGCAAATCAACATTATTATCGGAGACAAGTCTGATTAGTCCTAAACAGTCGCTGCCAGGTGAACAAAATATGCCGGATAATACAGCGATAGATCCAACACAGGAAGAACGTCAACAGGCACAGCAACAGCAACAACAACAACAACAACAACAACAAAATGTACAGGTAAGTCGGCCGAACAACGACGATGAAATGAATTCAGAACCTCTGCCCGCTCCTCGCAATCATCACGCGATCGGGGATGCATTATCGAACGAGAGGAACATTCAGGATGAACAGGACGACGTTTTACCGAATCAGGAACAAAGTAATGTAAGATTTGCACCGGAAGATGATAACATCATACCGGTAGGTCCTAACGAAGTTAAAGATGAGGAACAACAAAAATTATTACCATTGCCTTATGATCTAAGAGACAAACGAAATAAAAAAGAGGAAGGTTTCCCTTCAGCCGAGGATGTTGCCGAGGAGGAATTAGAGAAAAAAAATACGGACGTAGATGGTGTACAGGATCTACAAAAGCAGGTTCTGGCACCACCGAAAAAATCATCCTCGAAAGAACCTACCGATCTCGAGAATAAAATTTTAAACGAGAAGTCACCGAATACCGATGATACTGATACTCTGGCCCGGCCGGATGCACAAAATAATTTTCCTGACTTTAGAGATACCGATAATGAGGCGCCGGCTGATGCTTGGCAACAGAAAGAGGAAGTAGGGAATTGAATCCTTTTAAAGAGGAGATCATCGTTGGTAACCGATCGTGTTTATTAAAAAATGAAAGAGCACAAATGAAAAAAATCGTCGATCGTTTGAGAACAATCGATATGGACGTATATTTTTCGAAGGAAAAAGAAGGGGAAAAAAAATGGAACAAAAAAAAAAAAAGAAGAGAGAGAGTAATAATATCGACGACTCGCTTTCTTGGATCTTATCAATGAAGTAAAAAGTAGTAGATCGTCGCATTATTTGTGAGAATGTGCCTTCGAGTGAGACATATTGTTTTTAATCCTTTGAGTGTGGACATATTTAGATTAAAATTTTCTCTCTCTCTCTCTCTCTCTCTCTCTCTCTCTCTTTCTCTTTCTCTTTTTCTTTCTCTTTCTCTTTCTCTCTGTTCTCTAAAGAAATACTTTCTCGCGTAACATAAATATGATAAGATAAATATAACTATTCATCTTGAACATTGATAATCTTTATTCGTTTCGGGAGTGTAAGTTGAAAAAGAAATTTGTCTCGCGCAAATATGACTCCGATAATTTTCATCGGACGCATATATGCGTCGGTAACACTCAAAGGATTCTTAACAATACCGTATATGTGCATTTCTATTAGTTTCTCTAGCGGGATACTTTTGGGTCATTTTGTTTCCTTCCTTTTTTTTTTTTTTTTATTTATTATTTTTTTACCATTTTTTTTTTTTTTTATTTTATTTTATATTATTTTATTTTATTTTATTTTATTTTATTTTATTTTATTTACTTTGGGTCGTCCTTTATGTTTTTCTCTCTTTCTTTTTTTTCTTTTTTCTTTCACTTTTTCTCTCTTTCTTTTTTCTTTCTTTTTTCTTTCTCTTTTTCTCTCTTTTTTTTTCTGTCTCTCCCTTTCCTTCTTTTCCTTTTTTAATTTTATTTCTATGTGCCACGTAGTTGCATGATTTTAAATTGGGTATGGTAGATAGATTATGACTATACGAAGATGACAATGACGATGACGATGACGATAACATTATTCGATAATAATATTCGTATCTTTATTTCGTGACGATTTTAATCGACGAAATTCGCGCCTTATCGGATATGCATTTAAACTTCGTCATTTTATACGGTGTATTTACTTACAGATTATTTACTAATAATAAATATATACATATATATATATATATGTATAAATAAATAAATATACATATATATATATATATGTATAAATAAATAAATATACATATATATATATATATGTATAAATAAATAAATATACATATATATATATATATATGTATATTTATTTATTTATAAGATTCGATTTATAATTGAAAATCGAAAAATCTTTATTCTTCGATTAGTATTATAATGATAAATGCAAATAGTTCTTGATTGTAATTAAATTACTTAAATTAATATGTTTGAAAATAATGCAATATACAAGAGGAAGATGAAGAAGAAGGAAAAGAAAAACTATATGCAATATGTGAAGAAATGAAGGATAAATTAATATACGTGAAAGAGTTTTTTTTTTTTTATTATACATTCTATTATTTGAATCTTAATAAGGATAGAAAAGAAAAGAAAAGTAAAGAAAAGAAAAGGAAAAAAAAAGTAAATAAATAAATAAACAAAGAAGAAGAAAGGTCGTAAATAAAGGATATATATCGCTTCTTTCGTTGGAATCGATCCTTTTCTTTCTCTGACGAAGAAGATAGAAAAGATGATCATGTGTATGCGCGAGAAAATTACATTAAAAAAAAAAAAGAAAAAAAAAATAAAAAAAAATAAAAAAAAAAAAAAAGAAAAAAAAAAGACAGAAAAATAAGACTTTTGCACATCATCAGCGATACGCCTTGTACTCTTCTATGTTACTTACCGCATTAATAAATTGTTATTATTTTTATCGGCTGGCATTTTTACTGGCACCCCCTGTTCTTCTTACCTAATCGTACTTACAAGCTTTCGATAATTTCTTTTCCCCTTTTTCTTTTTTTTCAAAAGAATTTGATTTTTTTTTTTTTTTTTTTTTTTTTTTTACGAACTTAAAAGTAACGATAAAGAGAAGAAAAAAAATACTAAATGCAATACTAATCAATTAGAAAGGGTAAAAACTTGTTCGAGGGGAAAAAAAAGAAATGATTAGAAATATAACAATTAATGTAACAGACGACGTAACTTACAATTAACGTTATTCTTTTCATTTCGTAAAACTTACGGAACATTACGGAATGATCCATTTAAAAATGATCAAAGACGCTTTCTTAATAGTTCATTAAAGATCCTTATTTTAAGTTGCATGCTCCGAATATATTTTTTTATTATTATTATTTATTATAATTATTATTATTTTTCATTGTTATTTTAATTCTGTTTTCTCGTCCTTTTTTTTTCTTTTTTTTTTTTTTTTTTTTTTTATATTAGTACTGCTCGCTTTTGTAGTGTCGATAGAGAATGGTAGATTAAAGTAATCTTTCGTAGAAGTGATTGATATACTTACTTTATGGAACCTTAAAAATCCTATACTCGAGGTTGAGTACTGTCGACGAGTTTGTCAGGTTAAGAAGGTAAGTCGATTAGTTAAGTTAATTAATAAGAAATTTAAATATCCTGCGAGTCTAATTAATAATAATATATATATATATATACATATATATATATATATATATATATATATATATATATATATATATCGTGAACGAAGTAGAATTTAGTAGTTTTTAGTGGGGAAAAAAAGAAAGAGTAAAAAGGAAAATAAAAAAGGTTGATCGTCAAGATTTTACAATCAGATCGTATTAATACACGAATGATGACATTTTTCAGATTATTGTCTCGTCGAGCTCGATGAAAACTATACCAGTATTGAAATTGGACACCAGCACAAAATCTAACAGCATAATCGATTCCGTGTCTTCTAACAAAGCTGTTAAAATCGCTTCGAAGGTGAAAATTCCACCTGGTGTATTACCAATTTTAATGATAATGGATCAAAATGCCGAGAAGATCGAGAAGGAGAAGATCAATGAAAAATTATTAAAGAACGACGAATCCGTCGTTCAGAATATAGCTTTGAAGAAGAAGGAAGTTATATCGGAAGTAAATAGTAAGGAAAAGGAGAATGAAGTTAACGAGAACGATAACGATAACGATAACATAGATCCACCGTATAAAAGTTTGTCTGGGAATAAACATGGCGTTGATCAGATTGTTGGTGGTAGACGACAAAATGGCAATTGGTTTAAGGTGAAACCGGGCGTACAAGAATTTGGCGAGGAACCCAATCCGATCGATCGATTGCCTGGGTAATTGAATTATCTTTGACATTTATGTAATTAAAAATTTATATAAAAAAAAAAAAAAAAAGCAAATTCCTTTCATATATTGCAGATTGGAAAGCGTCGTTGACAGACAATTCGGTGCAGGTGAGGAACAATACGTTGGTGCGGAATACGAACCTCAAGCTCAAAAAATAGAAGATTTGCGTTTGGCTGAGGGCGAAGAGGAAGAAGGTAACAGATAAATAAATCGAGAGAGAGAGAGAGAGAGAGAGAGAGAGAGAGAGAGAGAGAGAGAGAGAGAGAGAGAGAGATTTTTTTTCTTTTTTTTTATGGATAATCGAATGATGGATTTTTCTTAATTTTCTTTTCTTTGTCTTCTTTATATTTTTCTTCTCTTTCTTTTTTTTGTTTCCAGACGAGGATGATCCCGAGGATGCTATATGAACGAGAAAATGTAAACGACGAACGAGGCTAATTTTTTTACGAGACAAATCGTAATCTTAATCGTATTTAATGATAAATCATCCACCCGCGCTATACACTGCGAGATGATATTCTTCGTATATATATTTTTCTAATTTGTTTTTTTTTTTTTTTTTTTTTTGAAATGTTTTTTTCTTTCTTTCTTATTATCAACTTTACGAAGACGACGATGACGAAAGAAACATACGATGAGATTGAAGGATAACGCAACAATAGTTCGTTAATGATTCTCGTTAGAAAAAAAAAAAGAAAGTTGAGATACTAAAATATCTCGGCTCTATACGAAAATCGTCAAGTAGCCTAACTTTCGAGTGTTTAGATTTTTTCTCTTGTTCAGCTTTTTAAACATTATCCATATGATCTTTCCAATTGTCTTCGTACTTCCTTTTTTTTTTTTTTTTTTTTTTAACAGCCGCGCTCTATAATATTTACGAAAAGAAAAAGGGAAAGAAAGAAAAAGAAAAGAAAAAGAAGTATCGAAGCGAACGAATCGTTCTTTTTAAGAGAAAATTTATACGTCGTCTATATATATATAAATATATATATATATATATATATATATATATATATATGTACAACGATTCGATTGCGAAATTTTTTTCAAATGAGATTATCGAGATTGATAGAGGAAACAGACTGTATTTTTTTAGGATTAATACAAAAGAAATAATTAACAAAAAAAAAAAAAAAGAAAAGAAAAGAAACAAGCAAACAAATATATGTGTATATATATATATATATTTATATATATATATATAAAAGTCACACAGATATACAGAGAAATGGCGACTCTTTGTGTCTCTGTAAAAGGTTCTAATTTTGAACAATATGTATATTAATGTTTGCGAACGAGAAACGTTCGTTTTTTCGCCTACGTAGAGATCACCTGTGACTTAAATGCACTTATTACTTAGGATAATCGAGATTCGATGCACACTTGTTGACAAACAATACATACATATATATATATATATATATATATATATATATATATATGTATATATATAGTGTCTGTGTGTGTATTATGTCATAAAAGAAAAATAATAAAAGTAAAATAGAAAAAAGAAAGTAAGGAGTCGTGCGATCGTCGACTCGTATTATTTGTCGATATATTATAATAATATCACATTTATATTTTATATTTTTGAACGATAACAATTTTTACTTTTGAACGATCGAAAGGACTTAACGTTAGAGTGAGTAAGATAGAAGGATGGATCGAACGAATGTTAAATTAATTATTTTAAGGAATTTATTATAATGAAAGTGAAGTTTGTTGATATAATCGTAGAATCTAATGCAAGAGAGACACTGTACGAATGTATATATATACATACATACATACATACATACATACATACATACATATGTTTTTGTTATTATTATTATTATTATTATTAATATTTTGATTATTTTTTATTTCTTTTCGTAATAAAAAAAAAAATAAATAAATAAATAAAAATTAAGTTTGATATTCGTCCTTAAAGAAAAAAGAAAAGAAAAAAAAAAGAAAACTGAAAAAGAAGAGAAGAAAAACACTTAAATGACACAGGAACTTTTTCTAATCTATATTAGACGAATAGAATCGAATGATATCGATGATTAAAAAAAAATCTATTTATTTCTAATAAATTTTATTTCTCATTTTCCTTTTATGCAATCATCTCTCTGCTATTTTCCTCGAATATTTTCAATAAGTGAAACAAAAAAAGACGGGGAAAAAAAAGAAAAAAAATATATATATATATACATACATACATACTTAGAAATAATCTTTGATGTCGTCGCGTCGAAGCACGTTATCGTGAAGTCATCGATATTTTTCCAGATCATCATGCCGTCAAAAATAATGTACATTTTCCACGTAATCGAGATACGTTCCGTTCATCGATGCGGAATATATTTCTTCCTTGAATTTCGAATTATAGAGATACGCGAGAGAGTACGGTATTTACGATGCTCTTCCATATATATATATATATATATATATATATGTATGTATGTATGTATATATACATTTATATAGCTATTCGGTTAATTATTGAATGCGATAATATTTCTCAGGAAATCATTTTCCAATCGACGTCTTTATTTTATTCTATATACGTTTTATTATGAGATAAGCATATTTTATAATAAAGATATATATACACGTATACATATATATATCTTTATTTAAAAATATACTTATAATACATATATCTATATATAATGGTGTACTTAAGTATCACTACAGTTGGAATGCATTATATTTCTATATTTTTATTGTACAAATACTTAAATTTTCACAGTATATATGCCCATGTGTGTGTATATATGTATATATATATATATTTTATGTATGTATGTATATATATATAGAGTTAGAAAAAGATAAAAAGGAATCAAAGTTTTTATTGAAATATTGATAATATTTATCTCATTGTTTATTATCTTCATTATTTATATTTTCTTATTACTAATTTATCATAACGGAGGATAGATCAAAAGACATTTAATGTCTCAATATGTGATCTGTTTGTCCAAGAGACTCTGACTCATTGCCGAGATCTATATTATATAAGCTATTCGAGAGAGTGAATATATATTACGATATGTTCGTACCGTTCTTAGAATTTAATTTGCATGACGACAAGCGTCAATGTTCAAACTGTTACATGCTCGACGACTTGGAAGTTCATAAAATTTACGGGATAATTATCGACACGTTTCTGTTTAACTTAATTCGATTATGTGTAACAAAAGAGAAAGAAAATCAAGAAAACAAAAAAACAAGAACAAAGAAATATAACGACGAATCTGACCTTATTCGAAGTTAACGAGCACATGAAATGGCGCTAATGATTGATATTCCTTTTTTTATAATTAGCTTCTTTCGTTTTTCTTTTTTTTTTTTTTTTTTACGTTCTACAAACAAAAAGAAATATAAATAAAAAAAAAAAAAAACGAACCAATCTGACGACCGAATATAATTTAATTTCTTTGATGAACGAAAATGAAGACAAAGAAAAAGAAAAGAATGAAAGGTATAAAAAACGTGACCACCATTTAGATATTCATCAAGTTCGAAGAAATTTGATTAAACACGTTATCTGAAATAACATAATAACGTTGTTTTTTTTTTCTTTTTTTTTTTTTTTATTTAAGATAAGTAATTATGAGAAATATCAAAAGTGTTTCGTTGAAATAAATGAACACATAAAAAGAGAGATCAGAGAGAAAGTTTTCATCTATCATTTGGGTTATCACAATTGAACTACATTTTCTGGCGCATCAACATTATCCATAAAATTGACGTTAAAAGTACGTGAATATGTTTCATTAGATAATTAATCTTCTTTAATTTCGACTTTAATTTTCAATTTTTCCGAATGACAAATTTTACTAACGTTTTATTGTTCGAGGAAGAAGAAGAAAAAAAAATATAAAAAATATGAAATATAAAAAAAAAAGAAGAAGAAGAAATAAAAAAAGATTAGGTTCCGGAACAGACAAGAGATATGTGTTCGTAAATAAATAAAATGAATTAAAAAGATTTTATGCACGAGTTTGCAAAAGATATCTTTCGTTTCTTTTTCTTCATTTTTTTTTTTCCTTTTTAAAGTTTTTATTCTATTTATTTTCTTCTTTTTTTTTTTTTTTTTTTTTTTTACTTTCTCTAGAAAATAAGAAACACTTCTTTCGACGTTTGTTCATAATATATCTTGTTTTTAATAATTGTTTCTAACGTATCCGTATAATGTTATATTTTTAATGTTAAATTAAGTTGAAATTTCGTACGAATGGAACTACATCCGCGACGAGATAATTTTAGAAAAGATCTGAATGATCTCATCGCTCATCTTGATAACATATTGGGATGGTTACCTTCAATTATCTAGTTAGAAGTTTCTCCTCGTATGTTCGTTGAATGAAACGTGCTGGTGCAATATGCTGTTAGCGTAATTTTTTCATACGAAGAAAAAGAAGAAGGAAAAGAGAAGTGGAAGAGATCGAGAAAAATAAATATATAAAATTAATTTAAAATTAGATTTGTACGATAGAAAAATATTATACGTTCGTCGTATCAAGAATCAAGAAAATCGAAGGAGGAAAAAATTCAAGAGGAATTTCTCTCTCTCTCTCTCTCTCTCTCTCTCTCTTTCTCTTTAAATAAATTATACCGACAACAATATAATTTCCAAATTAGAGATTCAAAATTATGCGTATGTTCAAAGACTGCACCCATAATTTTTCTCTCTCTTTCTCTCTCTCTCTCTCTTTCTCTCTCTTTCTCTCTTTCGTATTCCGTATAAATTCATTCGTCTTGATTTTTCTCGACACCTCGAGGACCTTTAACCTTGGCGTATATCCTTCACGCGTGTAGATATACAAATATATGTGAATACGTAGTACGTATATATTTACCAACTCTAATACAGTTTCGTTAACATATGTGAAAAAGAGAGTGGTGCCTTGTGTGCCATGTGAGATTGTTAAGGAAGGTTGACGTAATATCATTGGTCTCCCCACTCTAAATCTCAAAGATGGTACGAACATAACAAAGTCTTCGGTTAGTAGATCGGATCGAACAGTTTGAATCCTTCGTCGTCAGAGGTAAGATCATTAAGACGAGATATTTAGTTTCCTTTCTTTTTTTTTTTTTCTTTTTGATATTTTTCTCTGTATATTTTCTTTTTTTTTTCTGTTGTAAATCTCGTTGAAACGAGATCATATTTTTTTCGATTGAACATCGTTGATACCTTTTTTTTTGTTGTTTTATTTTTTTTACGACGAATTATCGATTCTTTCTTCGAACTTTTCCGTAAATTTTCTTTACTTTTTCTTTTCTTTTCTTTTCTTTTCTTTTTCTTTTTTTTTCTTTTTTTTTTTTTTTAGGAACAAAAGACATGAAGGTGTTCATTTTTGCGGCTTTGGCCGTGCTCATTTTCGAGGCGTCACTTGCCGTCGATACTCACGAACACAACAAGGTCGTCTGTTATTGGAATGTTACGTCGTTTGAAAGACAAGGTAAATATTATTTTAACAATATTTATAATATGAGAATAATAGGGATGATATTGTAAATATTATAAAATTCGTTTGCATGCTCTTTAGAAAGTTATTTGTGAAAAAAAAAATTTTTTTACTTTAATTCATATATATTTTTCGTGTTAATTAAAAATTTTCGAAAGATCTATTTATGTTAATATATTAATAATAATAATAACAATGATAATGATAATAATAATAATAATAATTTATTAAGATGAGAGTAAACGATGTGTGGTGATATCCGTGAAAGGAACTTTCTCTGCTCGTGACGTCACTCTCTGTTTATCTATGTTTGTCCATGACATGAAAAACGAGAGAAGTAAATATCGATAACATAATAATAAAAATCCTTCGTTCTGTGATATTTTAAGGTCCTGGAAAATTCCAACTCGAGGATGTTAGACCTGCCTTATCTCTCTGTACTCATTTAATATACGGTTTTGCTGGCATTAATCCCGATACGTTTGAAATTATTTCATTGAATCCAAATCTGGATACTGGCGCTGGCTATGCGTATTACAGATTGACAACACAATTGAAGAAATCTTTTCCAGATCTTAAAGTTTATCTGTCTGTCGGTGGAAATGCCGATCCATACGAGGAAACACACAAATATCTTACATTGGTAAGATAATCCTTGATCATTTATACTTTTTTTTTTATTTCATTTTTAATCGAATGAAAATAGCTTTCGTTTAGAAATACGAAGGAATTGATTTAATGATCTTGAAAGAAAAAAAAAATTAACGAAGAATACAGTGGGGCGGGGGGGGGTAGAGGAGGAGGGGGTTAAAGAAAAAAGAAAAGAAGAAAAAAAATATAAGTACAACGTGATAAATAATTTTTAATAATATCTAACGATGTGAATGAAGAAATTTGTGTAATATAAAAAAATGAATCATTAAGAGAGAATAATTTTACTGTAATAAGAAATAACGAGTATCTCTTATCTGTGTATTTTATTCTTCATACGATAGACCGAAACCTCAGAGGCAAGATCAAAGTTCATCAACTCTGTGAACCGTCTATTGAACGATCATGATTTCGACGGTATCGATCTAGCTTGGCAATTTCCACCAGTGAAAGTAAAGAAAAATCGTGGTACTTGGGGTTCACTTTGGCATGGAATCAAGAAAACATTTGGTTATGGAAAATTCAAGGACGATAAGGAACAGGAACATCGCGATGGTTTTACCATATTGGTTCGTGATTTGAAAACGCAATTGAGACCAAAAGGAAAGGCTCTTACGATAACCGTCCTTCCGCATATTAATGCTAGTGGTACGTGTTTTTTTTTTCTGTTTTTTTTTTTTTTGTTTTTTGTTTTTTTTTTTTCCTTTCAATTTTTCATTAACTCCTTCGAGGAAATCGCAATGTGCGATTTGTAAATCAAATTGTGGAAAAATACAAGATGACGTATTTAATAAGTATTCAAGAGGACGAACGAATGATTATCATTCAGTCGATTAATTCTTTTTTTTTTTTTCTTGACAGTTTATTACGAGGCACGATTGTTGTCACCGATTCTCGATGCTATACATCTGATGACGTTCGATCAAAAAACACCAGAACGTAATCCAAAGGAAGCTGATTATCCTGCTCCGGTATACAGCAGTTATGGACGTGTTCCAGAGGATAATATCGATTCGTCGGTTAGGTAAAAAATTTGATAATTTTTTTTCTTTTTCATTCGATCATTTATTCATTAGTTCCGTGAACGAATATATCTAATCTTTATTATCAAAAATTAATTAAGGTATTGGCTAGAGAATGGTACGCCAGGTTCTAAGATAGTCGTTGGTATACCAACTTATGCAAGAACATGGAAGCTAACCTCAGAAAGTCAAATTTCTGGTGTACCACCTATCATAGCAGAAGGTCCAGGTGAACCAGGACCACATTCCGGTATTCCAGGAATATTGTCTTATTCCGAAGTTTGCACGAAATTGACCGAGACCAATTTGGGACGTTTAAGGAGGGTAAATGATCCATCGAAAAAATATGGTAGTTATGCCTATGATCCGTACAATGCCGATACCGGAGTCGAAGGTCTTTGGGTTGGTTTCGAGGACACCGATACGGCTGGTAACAAAGCTAGTTACGTGAAGGCCAAAGGGCTTGGTGGTGTTGCGATATTTGATCTTTCGTTAGATGATTTCCGTGGTGTTTGCAATGGAGATAAATATCCAATAATACGTGGTGCCAAATACAAGCTCTAGATCTATCGACATTCGAGAGAGATTGGAGACTGTTTTAACGTTGGAGCTTTTGAAGAGATATCGATCGATCGATATATTAATTAATTGATTTAATTCGGTCTTTTTTTTTTTTTTTCTTGTCACTGATTTTCGACGATTAAAAAAGTTTTATATCCTATTAAATGGTCCCATTATCCATATCCATAGGTACGCTTTTGTACTTTTTTTTTCTTTCTTTTTTTTTTCTTTTTTTCTTTCAATCCTCAAAATTCCATTTCTTTATTCTATCTCTTGACAGATCATTTATTCCTTGATGGATCATATTAGTTCCTTCGTTCGATGTGTTTTAGTTCAACAGATAAGAAATAAGGAAAATAAATAAAAATGATAATTGCAGATCTAAATTGTTATTCATTTGTTCTCTATCTATTTCCATTTGATCGTTCGATTAGGATAATGAATTTTGGGAAGGTTATTAAATAAAGGTAAATCTTTGATACATGTATGCATGTATGTATATACATATACATACATACATATATACATATATATATATATATGTATATATATATATATATATATATATGTACGTATGTATGTATATGTATGGATAATATATTTCGTGCAGTCTATTCGAATAAACACTTTTTGCTTGGGGATGTTTACCAAAGATCACGCATACGTAAATGAATCAGACTGGTTAATTATATCAAACGTGTTTGTGATGACGTACGATGGCACACAATGAGAGATTACACGTAATACAATATTATATCCATTTAATCGGCATTTTTATTTCTTTTTTTTTTTTGTTTTGTTTCGTTTTGTTCTCTTTTCATCTATTTCAAACTTCATTTTATTTTTCTTTTTTCTTTTCTTTTCCTTTTTTCCCTTTATTCTTTTTCTTTTTTTTTTTTCTTTTTTCCCTTTCAACATTTAAATATTTACGGATATCAATTAATTTTTACTCTTCTTTTATTATTTACTCTCCCTTTTTATTTATTTATTTATTCATTCATTTATATATTTATTTATTTATTTATTTATTTCTTTATTTATTTATTTATTTAATCTACTAATAATTAGCGGTAGTGGTAGTTAGTAGTGGTCACATTAACGTGATTACTTTTTCCCTGCATATGCGTGTATATGTATGTATATATGTATGTATGTATATACTAGATACTACATATATATATATATATATATATATATATATATATATATATATATAGTATCTTTTTCTCTCTTTGTAATACTTAGAAAATACTGGGCGTGGTATGTAATTTTAAAACAGCTTATTTCTCTATGATACAGGTAATTAGCACCGTTAACGTGTTGTTTTCGGTTTATTCTTTTCTTTTTCCTTTTTTCTTTTCTCTCTTTTTTTTTTCCTTTTTTCATTTTTTGCAACATTAATCGAAAAATTTGCATTCGATAGATCGCGTGACTCGAAATGATTGTAATCAATTAGTCGACAAAAATATATAAAAAAAAGAAAAAAAAAAAAGAAAAAATAAATAAATAAATAAATAAATAGAATAAAAGTCATGCAGTTTAACTTCTCGTAGATTTATCCAAACCCAGTCCCGAATGAATATTTTATTTACTCGATATCCCAAGAGCTATCATATGCAATTGATTCGATTTACGTTGCAATATTTCTGTTGAACGGTGCAATAATTCGATACAGAGCTTTAACATGGGAAGGGCACTCTTAGTTATACATACATATATGTGTATATATATATATCACGTATATGTATGTATTTATGTATATGTTTCTGACTATGATTTTTGGGTATTTTCTATGTTTATGTGTATATCATATATCTATATGATATATATATATATATATATATATATATATATATATATATATATACAGGGTGAGCCAAAAGAGTTCCTTCTAGTTTTACAATTTGAAAAAAGAAATTAGTTTAAAAGGTATTGGAAAAGGTGTAATAGATTTTTAATGTTATTTAATAACTTTTGGCTTACACCGTATATATAGATGTGTATATATGTATGTGTATATCATATATCACATGAATATCTCTAAAATTTACGATAAAACGATAGATCATCTGATATTTTTCTTAAAACTAATAGAATTCTTATTTTCTCTCTCTCTCTCTCTCTCTCTCTCTCTCTCTCTCTCCCTCTCTCTCTTTCTCTCTCTTTCTTCTTGTTAAGAGTATAAAGAACTCGAGGAGAAAGAGTGAGTGAGAGAGAGAAAGAGAGAGAGAGAGTGAAGAGAAAGAGAGTCAGATTTTTATAACAGGATTAGAATATTATATTCGGCGAGATTACGATGAAAGCATTCATTAGACAACGACGATTAGAGGATAATAAATCTCTCTTTCTCTTACGGTGCAAATAATCTTATCGTGTTTTAAAATAAATTATCAACTGCAAAGCTATATTATCCCATGATATATATATATATATATATATATATATATATATATATATATATATATCAAAGAAGTTAATTATTGAATAAGGAAGAAAAGTAATATACATAAATGCTCGGATCATTATTGTGATTTAATTTTCACATATATTTTTATCGAGTGTTTTACGGAACGTTCAAACGAAATGCTTCGATACTCGTTTAAATAAAACACGAAAATATAAATAGGCTCGGATGTATGTATATATGTATGTATCTATGTATGTATGTATGTATTTATGAATATATTTATGTAATAACATATTTCTAGGCCGATGATTTAACGAATCAGCTACAAAGATTAAAGCAATTATAATAAAGAATTATAATAAAGAAATCTGAATCATCTCGTTAACAATGTAATCGATAAGAAACAGAAAAACAAAAACGAAAAAAAAAAAGAAAAGGAAAAGAAAAGTAAATAAAAATATTATGAAACGTGACGCTGTGAGAAGGATCAAAAAGGTTCGTCGTATTTCGATCAAAATGCGGTATATGATATAACGATGCACACACACACATTCACATATGTATATGTGTGTGTGTGTGTGAGTGTGTGTGTAATGATAAAGATAATAAATAGAGAACGGTATGTTCCAATAATGTCTTTTACATGATGGAACACCGTTTAACGTTGTACCTATTATCTTGGTCCACGTTGTTGATGCTGAGCACCTTGAGTAATCTCTCGGTGTCCTTGAAACCGTGTCTGTTATTTTGTTCCTGCTTCAGCAACATCATCGTAGTAGTTTTCTTTTTTTTCTTCTTTTTACGTCTCTTCGCCTGAGGTAGGGTTAATTCGAGCATTTGCTCGAGCCTAAATCGTATCGGCCATGTTATTTCCTCCTCGACATGTTCCTCATCCTCGTACGCATAATCGTGTACATTAGACGTGCTTTGATTTTGTTGTTGTTCATGTTGTCTTTGAACTAATTCCTGATGACGTCGTTGTTGTTGCTGCTGCTGTTGTTGTTGTTGTTGCTGTTGTTGTTGTTGTTGTTGTTGTTGCTGTTGCTGTTGCTGTTGGCGATTTTGTAATTCCTGTTTCTGATAAAATTGTTGATATTGACGATTGTGTTGGACGGTGTAACCACTGGCGATAAGTTTCTTTGGTTGAACGAAGGAATCGTGAACGCGAACCGGCCGAGCCAGGGATGATCTTTTTCTAGCTGGTGTCAAGTGAATCTGATGATTCCTCGATAGATATTTCATTAATTGGTCATTGCTACGAGCGTTATAACGTCTCGTTGAGTCATTATAGGGCGTTAACATTCTGTTAGAATCCTTGCTCTTGATAGAACAGGTGTCCAAATTCGAACCTGGACGTTCTTTGCTATTACCATTGATCCTACTTTTTGTATTGTTACTTTTGTTATTATTATTATTATAATTACTACTACTACCATTATTATTATTATTATTATTATTGTTACTACTCTTGGCATTATTCTTATTATTATTGTTACTATTATTATTATTATTGTTATTGTTATTATTAATAATATTATTATTATTGGTAACGGTGTGACGACATTGCTCGGCACATTGGAGACAGTCGTAATACTTTTCGACGACGCTTCGACGCATCGGATTAGCAAAATGATTGCGGAGATTAGCGCAGTGCTGAAGTTCGCTCGTCATGTTTAAGCGAGTGCCTTGATAAGGCTGCTGTCACACCTCTTGTAGATACATCAAAGGACAGAGGGTTTCGTTGTATAACACGTCACCCTCCTTACCGATATGTTCGGCCGATCTTACGTCCGCCGCGAATCTAACCATAGCCACCCCGTCCACTTCTTCGCCAACTTGTATGACAATCTGCGAACGAGTATAAAACAATTGATTATAAATTAATATAAGTTCTATCGATGTGTTCGATGATCTGTTGATGTTCATACGTCATTTCGTCTAAATGAAAAAAAAAAAAAAAAAAAAAAATCATAGATCATTAATCGTCCAATTATCTCTTTCACACTTTTTACCTGATCCCTAAGCAAAGTGATTTGATCCGTCAATTGCAGATTACGAGTGACCTGTAGAGTCCTTTGGCCGGATTCGACGCGCATCACGTAAGCACTAGGAAAATATCCTGCACGACCGCCGAGACATTTACCCTTCCACCAATCCTTTTCAGATTTATCGATGACCGTGACCTTATAACCGGGCCTAAAAAACGAACAATAAGTGTTACTTTTTTCGTTCTTTCTTTGTTCCTCTTCCCTCGTTCTTTTCAACCTTTCTCGCTTTCCTTCCCCTCCTCCTCATTCTCCTCCGAGATTCCTCTTTTCAAAATAATTTCGATCATTCGCAGAAAAATTCACGATGGAACGAACAAATAATTCTGACACGAGTTACGATTTATTTATATGAATTATTAAACGATGCTAATAGAAATAGGACAGATGTAAATACTCACTTTAAATCCAGTTCGTCGCGATGACGTGCCTCAAAATTGTAAAGGACAACGTAGAGATTGTTCGGAGGAAGTACTCGTTTTCCAGACGGATTCATGTGATTTTGATTGTTGGGATGTGGCGAGGGACACGGTGATGTACTTGCCGATGAATAACATTTGTCATTCTCGTCTGGTAACTCGACGCTGGACGTTCTTAGGGCGCTCCTAATGTGCTTATGCATAGTGTGACCTTGTCCTGGACTGCATGGAGCTGCGAAGATCGGTAAATCTCTGTCTGCGCGTACGTACCACGTGACGAGAGGAAACACGTTTTCGTATTCTGAAGAGATTCTTTTAAAAGATATCGATATTAATTCTTTCGTTTTATTTTTCTACTCACATAATCTATTGATACTGCCACTGTCTGAGTGCCTTGGTGGTGTCGATTCTCTTTGACCGGAGGCATAGTAATCTCTTGGACGATGACGTACATGAGCCGTTCCTTCCGGTGAATCCAAACTGAGACTCTTCATTCTCAGATTCAATCGTTCGCGTCTACGTTGCGGGCTATGCGGTGCTTTACGTTTTGTGATTATCGATCATGATAAAATTAGCTTACTTCTTTTTTTCTTTTTTGTTTTTTTTTCTGTTTTTTTTTTGTTTTTGCTTTCATTTAAACGAAGTTTAATCACTTTATCGACGTTGACGTTCTGTTCTATATCGTCAATTTTGTTGTTCCTTTTTTATTTTTATTTTTATTTTTTTTTTAATCCTCTCTCTCTCTCTCTCTCTCCCTCTCTTATTTTTCCTTTTTCCTTTTTTCTTTTTTTTTTTTGTTTTTTTCTGTCG